AACTTTTATAGTTTGTATAACCTTGCAGGTTTAAATGGCAATTATAATTAAAGACAGGCTGAATCAATTAAGAACTATAGACAATTAAATAGAGGTTAATAGAAATTCTGTAATTCACAACTTGCAAAGGAATATAAAAACATAAAAAATCACCATGCAGGATTCAAATCTAAGAGCATAATAAATTAAATCAAGATCCATTAGCATGTTGACAATTTTGGTTACATAAAAAGATTTCCTAGATTCAATACAACTGTTATTTACCTTTAACTTATAAATAATTTGTGGCATTGGATTACTTTCTTTGACATGAAGAAATTCGTATGAAGATCATTGGATATTATGAGTATTTCTTACAACAATAAATTCTTGTGTTACGCCTTTAAAAAATTAACTTGGATGACAATATCACCGAAGTTGTTTTTTCCTATTAATCCTATTCTATATTCTTGGAATCAAAATAATTAACTGTTGACGTGTGGTATTGAACCATCACATTGGTCGATAATGTACTCGTGCTTGTGACAACTTTGGCTTAATTGATCCAACTTGGCTAACCGATGGGTGGGAATGCTTGATCGTTGTTTAAAATAAGAGACAAGCAACTAGAATTATTCTATGCCAACTAATAATTTGATAGATCATCATAAAAAGATTGAAAATAACTCCTTAAAAGTATATAATCTTGTCAATTTCTTATAAATTTTTTTTTTTAAATTTTAGGTAGGAAAACTTTAATTTGTAAGGAATTTCAAAGATGTTAAGTTCTACAATATGTGATTTCTTGTACACTTATCTGACGGCCCCAACAACAAATACACAAAATATGATTAATAGTTAAACAGACCTCGATGTTGGTGAGGGAAGTTGTGTTTTTGATTTTTTGTGGCAAAAACGAATATATGACTGTCATGTGCACTGTCTTCTCAATTAGTCGTAACAAATATAAAACAAATGTTAAAATTGCATACAACTATCACATTTTGTGTTGATGATACACACCACCCAATGAATGCAACCCTTTCTTTATTGGATACGACTGCACCCACGTGTGTTTCATTGATCTCTTCTACATAGTTCTAACAAATTAAAGAAGGTTGTGTGAATTGCACTACTCAATTTGAATTCTGAATATAATGAGTAAAAAGATTTATCTTAAAAAATGACATATACTGCGGGTCATTTATAATTTTTATTGGAGTCCTCTCAAATGATGAGTCTTCTGGATTGGCAATCTTTGATGACAAACTAATAAGAGTTTTAAACCCCACTGAAAAGTATATATTGATTGTCTCTCATTATGTGATAAAATGTAGCGTGTTGTTGCTAACAACTCTCTAGTTGTCATTCTAGAAGAGTCATGAAGCCTATAATTCATATGTAATTCATTTAGAAGATCTATAAATATGGGCTATGCCATATGAAATATTTTGTTGAATCTTGTAGGGCATTTTATTAAGTAGCTCTCCAACCCATTTATCACCAAAGTAAGATAACAACATGCAAGAGACTGATCTATGTATTAGTTGTAGTACTTGCACATCAAACATACTACTATCACTATTCTAGTTCCGCGTCCTCTCTCTTTGTGAATTTATGTTGTGTAAGTGCTCTGTTCAAGTAAGAAATGTGAATCAAACAACTTAAATAAACTTCAAATAACGAATTATGCAGTGTACGATGAGAAGACAAATATCTAAAATAACATTAACATTGCTCCAAGAAAAAGGAAAAAAAAAACATCCAAATCAGAAATCTGATAAACCTACTGGAAAATAAATATAAATTGTGCAAAGATAACTGAATATAATCAAGCATCTCCGTCGTCATAAAAATTGACCCTATGGTTAGGGCTCATCTTCATGAAGAACTCTCTTTTGGTTGGGTCCTCCAGCAACTTCGTGAAGTTCAAATATAATGACATGTCCTCATAAATTCCTAGACTTGCCTCTAAAGCTCGGATAACTTGTTCGATGGAGATCGTTTATGAAGTCCCGGGGTCACTGGTGCATGAAGCTGTTTGTTTTAATATTTGGCTTCTAATGAAAGTAGCCCCTTCTTTTTTATTCAGACATTTTGACCTACATGTGGGCTCCATTTCATTTTGGTTTGGGTTAGGACCTTTATCGGGTTTAGTTGCTTGCTCAATATCCAAGTTCTCAGTTATGCATGTAAACCCTTGCTCACTAAGAGTCCAAGTATTAGTCCTCGTTGCCACGACCACACCAAACATTTCGTCCAACCTTTCTTGCAGATCAGGGTCAATACAACTAAATTTGAATTTTTTTAGCAGCTGACACTACCTGCAATATAAGAGGACGTGGGTATGCTCATACAGTTTAGGAAAAGAAAGTCAAGAAAAGAAAGTATACAAGGAGTTCTCACCTCCATTCTCCCAGCTTACCATTTCTCTGAAGCATCAATAATTCATTTGATTGGATCTCAACATAAGCCTATGAATCCTTGTTTCAATTCCTTCCACATTTTCAAGTCCTTATTCAATTGATCCCACTTGTTTTTCAGTTGCATTCTAGAGTATTCCATTCTTGTCATTTTCTTGAACCCTTTTATACTTTCATAATATTTGGTCACCCTTCCTTATTAAAATAGGCGATGGGCTTATTTCCTAGTTTGACCTCGTTAAGACAGAGGCCACAAAATATGAGTTTGGCTTTCTTATCCCACATAGCTAATGAGCCGACTTCTTTTGCCCTAACCATTACATTACTAACATAGAAAATGCTAAATATAAATATTTGGAAGAAGAATTAATTAACACAAATCACAACCACACACCAATATTTCCATATTTCCAAACCAACACAAACACACACGAACACCTCCACACCTCCATACAACACACAACCACACTAGACCACACACCAACACTTTCACACCTCTGCATATCACCACCAACACTTCCCCAAATACAACCACGCACAACACTTCCACACCTTCACACACCACACCAACACTTCCACAAACACAACCACAACCCAACATTTTCACACCTCCACACAATGCACCAACACCTCCATACCTCCATCCCAAGACCTCCACCCCAACACAACCACACAGCGACATCTTCACACAACACATAACCACACACAACCCCACACCAACACTTCCACAAACACAACCACACACCAATACTTTCACACCTCCACACAGCACCACCAACACCCCCACAATAATAGAACCACACACCAAAACATGTATACCTCTACACAACACACAATCACAGACAAACACACTCCAACACTTTCACATCTCCACACACCACCACCAACACTCCACAAACACAACCATACACCAACACTTCCACACCTCCACTCACTACCACCAACACTTCCACAAACACAACCACACACCAATGCTTTTCATCATTACACCATCACAATAGCAAGCACCAACATCACAACACAATCATATTCAACAAACATCACATTGCAACAACACTGTGCAACGTCACAGTAACCACCAACATCAAAACACAAATGTTCGGCTAACCACCACGATCAATGTACAAAATTTCAGGCAACATCACAGTAACTGCGATGACCACCAAAAAAGCATTCACGACGACATCATAAAAACCACCCCCAACACCCTAAATATTTCGGGTAACATCAAAGTAACCACCACCACGACCCAAAATATAAACCGAATAGAACACAGAGAGACCAAAATCACATAACAGCCCATCACAACACCATCACTAAAGAAAATTGTGAGATCCAAAATCACAGATCTTACAAAATACATCACCAATGCATAACCACCCGAAAATCATCGATTGAATAAAGCTCAGAGAAGCTAAAATGATTGCAAAATTAAAATGTCAGAATAGATGATGGTAGAAAATACCATGGGCTGACATAGAGCAAAGGAACCAAAAGAAGCAGAAGAACAGAGGGGATAGGAAGAGGAGAAGATGGGCAAACCCTTGCCAACGGAGCCACGGATCAGAGAGGAGGAGGAGAGTTGATGTTACTGTTAGGGCGGAATCATGAGAAAGGGGAGAGCGGTACACGGGAACGAAGAGCTCGCGAGATAAAAGGGAGAGCCGAATACAAGGAGAGAGCCTAGGGTAGGGCAATAAAAAGCCTAACATAAAGGAAAGACAAAACGTGTGCCACAGGGTCGAACCCGTGGCGCGCCTTTTATTGAAATTTTTCAAAAACACCGTCGCGAAGCATTTTCTAAACGCACCGCAGTGCATCAAAAAAAGAGGCACCAAATAGTGCCCAAGTGTCTATCTACACTTCCAGTTACTCACTTTTTATCAAATTACCTGTGTGTACCTACTAATCGATGTCAACTATTAATTTCGTGCATCATATAAAGCACTTTGATGATCGACTTAGACATTTACCCTCATCTTTCTATTAGAATTCTCTAATCTAATCGTCCTTGATAGTAGACATTACTTTTTATCCTTGCCACAACAGACAACTCCCTATCATCTAAATTTTTATATCATAATCACAACTCCAATCACTTGAAGGGCATATCATTATAATCATTAACGTAATTGTTTTCACTTGAGCAATGCCTTATGATCTTTTATGTGAAATATTTATCTCATGAGTCCAAAATCCTCTCTTTTTTTATTTATATAAAAATATTCCTACGAACAATTCTTGCAACCTGATCATCTAATGATTTTCAACTATGAAATAACCGATTTAATTCTATACCAATATGCAGAATTTGATTGTCTCTAAGTTAACAGCCAACCTGCATCTAGTTGGCTATTATATATATAAATACACGCGCGCGCACACACACGCACGCCATCTTCTTCCCGCTAACCCTAACGGCATTCTAAAACTTCAAATGCAATTCCACAAAACAAAGCACTCAAATGAACCGATTTCTGCAATATATACACGTACCGCTCCCCTTCACCTCTCCATCCAAAATCCCAACGGTCTCCCAACTCAGAACATCGTTCAAGAATTCAACAGATATTGACAGAATCAAGACAAGCCAGGGAATCAAGCTTACAATTTAAAATTTCATATATCTCATATAATATTAAAGTTTCCTCCCACAATCTCATTTTTAAATTCTGAATTCTCCACCGCCGTCATGTTTCTTCATCCAGCCAAATCATGCAGCAACTGAGCACCCATCAAGTTCCTGTAAGGAAGATTCTGCGCATCCCCATCAAGAATGGAAAACTGAACTGGCTGACACTCCTCCATCTGCCCTCTAGAATAAAACAAAGGCTGTGGATTCACCGGAGATATCTCATGATGCTGCAGCCCCAGCGTGAGCGACACGCCGTTGCTGCTATAGCTTTGTGTACTGCATCCGTTGTAGGAAGAGAAGTCAAGGTCGGCAATGCCGAAATTCTCTGTTCTTTGTAAAGTGATTTGATTTCTGGGATTGGGATGACGGCTTCTGGATTCGGAGTGGTGGTTGATGATAGAGGAGAGTGAGTCCGGCTCTGCGAGCAGTTCGGCGGCGAGAGGTTTCTGTTCGGTGGAGATGGCTATGCCATGGGAGTTGCTGGGTTTAGGTTTCCGGTCGTCTTCTTGTGGTGGTCCGTTGGACTGCATTTCGTGTTCTTTTATTTCTTCCGTGTACATTTCTTCTATCATTGGTTTCCAGAGTCTCACTCTTGCGTTGATGAACCAGTTGGAGACCTGCAGGGGCACTTTCGTTGTTATTTTAAACTCGTTTTTTTTTTTTTTTTGTTAATTTAGATAAATAATATTTTTTATCTATATATTTTGATTACATTTTGATCATAATAAATCTAAAAAACTTTGGATTGATTATGATATGAGTTTATTGTAAGAGAAATACATCAAAATTATTGTTATGCTCATTTGCTAAAATAAATCTAACAATGTTTTTAAAATCAAGATTAATGATTTTAGAGAGATTTAGGGCCCGTTTGGGGCAGCTTATACTTGCGGCGGCGTTTTTGAAAACGCCGTCTAACAGTTTGGTTTGCGCGTTTTTGAAAACGCATCCTACCGCGTTTGAATTTTTTACACTAAAGGTTCGCGTTTCAGGAAAGTTGTTTATCCCGAAACGCACAAGCTACCCCAAACAGACTCTTACTTGTATACCACTTAATTCTTACATATTTACATATATATATATATAAGCACCTTAATTATTTATGTTTGAAATGGTGCATCTATTTCAATTTAAAAAAGCTAAAATAGTGATTGATATGAGAAATTTAAGTGATATAAAAATCAAGATTTAAACTACCTCTTAGTGAACATGAAATTCAAATTGCAGAAGAGTAATGCTTTTCTAACAAAAACTTCTAATTTTAAATAATTCTGGCCTTAAAATAATCGTTCAATTCTTCAAATTTATTATTGTGTCACTATCATAAATTGTACAAGTTGTATTAAACTGTAAATTATTATTCATTGCAAAGCATAAGATGCATAAAAAAATGTTTTTGTAAGAAATGATTAATCATACAAATTGGACTGTCTCTATTTGATTATAATTAGATGATGGTTATCTGCAATATTATATGCACAAAGATTAGTTGAGAAAAAACAAAGTATTAGGCATAGACTTGGCCAGGATGAAATTCATTATAATAAATAATACATTTGAACCTTCATTAACTATTTCATTATTAATTTGTCAGCACTAATAGTTGTGATTATATCAAATTAAAAATGAGATCTTTTTATTAAATTTATAAGAAAATGTAATTTCAAAATGCATAATATAATAAAAAAAATTATCTTTCATCCTAACATAAAATGACCTTAATAGTATACTAACATAATTCTGTAATACAAAGTTCCTATATTATTGTTTGCATAAAACAAAAATAGTATTTTATGTTAAATACATTTTAGTTTAAAAATGATGAATTTGTATCGTGCGTGGACGGATGTCATTGCTATCATAATTACTTTATTTGTTTCAAGGACTCGGTTGACAAAGTCAAATCTTTGTTTTATCTATAGAGGGTCGATAAAACAATTAAAGTTGGGCAAGACATTCATTAGTTTAAATGAATAAATTAAACATTGATTAGTGACATGCAGAGAATGGTGATTAATAAGTAATTAAGCGAAAGGGATGTTTATGACGTGGACGTACCTGGCTCCTTGAGAGGCCGGTTTGCCTGGCTAATATATGCTTATCAACATCGCTAGGGTACCTGCAAGTTGTCATCTTTTATTATTTTTTTCGTCCACAAGCACACAAAAGTTGTTAAATTTGAAGAAAATACGGTGCAATCTGCAAAACATATTGTGTGCTTGTGAGAGAAGTTTTCTGGTTTTATAAGATATTAATAAAAAGAGTAAAAATAGCTATTTTTACTTTTACAAAGAAAAAAAAACAAGCTATAATATTTGTTCTACAAGAGCAGTGCAGTGCAGAAACAGCTCCGGTGTTATGCAATGGCATACATCGGAGTTTCTTCTGCATTGTTGTTGCTTGACATGGGAGTTTCTTCATCTTTGCTGTTGCACAGCATCAGAGTTACTTCTACGCTATTGTTGCGCAACAATACTAATAGAACCCATCATCTATTATAACAAAATTCTACATTATAAACTGAGATTCATGGGGGGTGGTCTCCTCGGGAACATTTTTACGTGACAAAAAAATTAAAAGCTATCTGCATGGTGAAGAAACAACGTGAAAGAGATAAATTCTATATATCAGAGGAAAAACTTTGCTCAGATGGTTCCATAATAATTATTTTGAAAAAGATATAGCCGTTTTTAGCTTGAGAACGGTTCCATAATACATATTAAGACAAATTCAACTTAATATATATACATCACACTTCTTCAAGAAATAACATGTAATTATTCAAGTTTCTCCGTCTTGGATTGGTCCATCGATTCTTTCTTGCCCGTTAATCCTAAAATCGTAGTCAAACACATAAAGTTTTCTTATAAAAGACTTTCAACGTTAATACACAGTTTATAATAAAGAATTTTAGGATAATATATTAAAAATCATGTATTGCACCGTCAAAATTGCCTCTTTTTTTCAACATTTGCTCCATATATAAAACCTTTTATTATACTTTTAGGATTGTCTATAAAGAAACTTATTTCTAGAGCTCATGCAAATTCAAATAAGAATGTTCTTGCTCACACAAAATAATAATTCTAAGAACTTAATCGTGCGCAGTAATCCCTTCACCGTCAAATTTCTACAATTTATTTAATTTTAGTTAATTTACTTTACATCTTCAATAATTGTTTAAGACAAACAGTCAACGTCCAAAAAAAAAAAAATACAGCAGCTGATTAAAATTTTGAAACGTATGCAACCAAAATGACATAACACTGCCGTGCGGGTAGTTATTAATCTATTGCAAATTAAAAGTTATAACCTTGTAATTACATGTAATTATACTCGTGTCGGCTGAGAAAAAAAATTGGAAAAGCAAAAGAAGAAGACTTACGGGTGAAGAAAGTGCTCGAAAAGCCAAGCCCGAAGTATGGACACCGAGCGCTCGGGAAGGCCACGCTGTGGCCGCCATGGATGTTGCTCCATCAAAGTTCCTCCTTGCTGAAAGGCCTTCTGCTGTCTGAAACACTGGTCGAGAACCTTTAGCCTTGGGGTATCACCTCTGCTTATTCCTGCAGCAATGGGGTCCTTCTCTCCCATGGTTTTCTTCGCCGCCTGTATTTGGTTTACGATGCCATCTCTTAAGCTTCTGAAATGCCTCGACATGGCTTTGGAAGCCAATGCGAGGTATGTCGTGGCCGAGCCTTCGCCGGCGACGGCCTCGAAGGATGATACCACCGCTCTCATTTGTTCACAGTATCGCTTGTATCTGCGGTCTACCTGTTTTTTGAGATACAGCTTCGTGAGTTTTTAGTTATGTCTGGCTTGGAGCAACAGAGATATGATGACAAGGGAGATGGGAAGAAGAAGAAGAAGAAGAAGAAGGAGGGAGTGATGAAGGAAAAATATGCTTAAAATAAAATGAAATTTACAAAAAAAAAAAAAAGTTGAAGAAGTTTCGGTTTGTTAGAAAATTTAAGCATTGTTTAATTTTAAATATTTAATTGATATAATGTATGGCTTTTTTGTTTTTATCCTGTAAAAATTGTATGGAATATCATAAGATAATTTTTTTTTCTCGAATTTATTACACAAAAGATCGACGGCTTGATACATGAATAATAGTAGATGCATATTTATTCTTTTTTTTTTATTATTTAAATAATTCAATAAGAGCTTTGGGATTGCTTTTTGAGTGGACAGAACTCTATTACATCAATTACTATAATCATGTTTACGTTTCTTACATTGAAAACTGTATTTACAAATTTCTCCAAAATAGCAACTAATGTGAAGAATCATATGAATTAATGATAAAAATGAATTCTTTAGGCAAAGTTTTTTTTCCTGAATTTACACGTTACTTGATTTTGAAGATTTTAACATAAGCCCACATAGTAATATTAATTTTGAATTGACATAATTATTTCAAGCTTTTGTATGAAGGAAAATTGTAGGATTTCTGTCAGGCCCTTCAACATTTCTCATGATGAAATTCGAGCGATTCGGTGGGTTCAATTTAAATCGGGGGATAGGGTTCAGCTGGTGGAGTTATAAATGGCTACGCAGGGAAAAAAGAATAGAGGTTTCTAAAAGTAAAAGAAATGGCTGAAAACGTCAATCTGCCCCACCTTCGGCTCAGCTTAACATTTATAGCAGCTAGGCTGCCCCACCATTATTGAACCCTCGAGCTCACAGATCACACAATCCAACTCCATCACCACCAGGTTAAAAAAGTATCGTCCTTGTTGACATCCGGAATAGTGTAATCATAGTGGATTAAGCTGGGGAGCAGTTAAATAAAGAGTATAATGAAGCTCACCTCTTCCAGCAGTGTCAGCAGCTTTGCCTTTCGTTTTTGAAGCTCAAGTATGTCGAGATTTTGCAGCGAGTGCATAACTGGAGAGTCGGACGAAGGTCCGCCTTCTTCAAACCTTGTGTTATGCTGTTTCTGCTTCGTGGCTTTCACCCCTCCAAGATCGCAGAACTCACTAAGTAATTCCTGTGTTGGAATCAAGTACTTCGAAAGCCTTAGCTTGTGGCTGCTTACACTCCCAGATGTTTGGGCACCGTGAAAGGCGAAACCTTGCTGATGAGAAACGGTGCTGTTACTGTTCGCCGCCCTTGAGAACATTAAGGATCGGTGATAATCGGCCGCCGCTTCGACGACGATGGAGGGCTCCGGGTTGTAAAGGGACAGAGAAAGCCCCTGGTTTGGTTGTTCTTCATCGTGAACGGGAAATAAGCATCTCAAGGAATCGTCGACCACGAGCTGTCTTGGTTGATCCCATGCCACGGCGTCAGAGGAGACCATCAGGCTTTCGCTGGCAGGGGAGTCGTCGCTTCCATGCCGAGCAAAAAGTGTGGCTGATCTCCATGACGCTTCAGGGTTATGGTGATTCTGATGATGTTGATGTTGATGATGATGGTGCTTGGAAGGGAACTCAAGCATCTCCATCCTCGTCTGCAAGTTGTACAGCTCCTGACTACCTGAAGCCTCGTATCCCTGCATCGAGAACTCGCCGTAACCCATGGCTGCCTGATGCTGATGCGCCTCTCCAGCCATGTTCTCCGCACCAGAGGTTATGAACCCTGTTTCCGGTTTATCCGATGATTTTAAAGAGGAAGAAAGTAGAGGAGGGAAAAAAAGCACGCAGCCTTTCACTCAAAGAGACGACTTCCTGCCTTGGCATGAAAGGGGGCAGTGCTTTTAATAATTGTACTGAATACTTTTGTTGTCATGAATAAATCCATCGAGTGGCTCTCATCTGGTAGACTGAGATTGGCACGAATCCTCATCCTACGATTCTCTTCCCCTCCCTCCCTTCTGTCATGCAGTGTGGGGGCTTCTTAGTCTCTGCAAAGCTTTTTCAGATTTGCTTCTGCTTCCTCTGTTGCAGCTGCTCACATGAAGACAGATGCCGACTGGTTTCTATGGGATTTGTGTCTTGGCAACTCTCCCATGGAGCAGAGCACGAGATGGTGAGGGAGATGAGAGAGAATAAAGGTTTGGGAAGTGCATGAGAGACTGAAGAAGGTGTAGAGAGAGAGAGAGAGGGCGTATTGGAGGGGCAACAGTGGAATAATTGCAACTGGAAAATATTCCACAAATGGGGGCTGGCTGCTTCTCATGAGAAGAAGAGCTTTTGTGGTCCTCTCTACTTGGCACTATTTCCCATTAAACCGCGTATTTACGTGGGACCACATCACTAGCAGGTGAGGGACCGCATCCTTTCATTTCTCTCCCCTTTTCCCTTCACATGCTATTCTTAATTTCAAAATTATTATTTTACCTTCGCCTGTGGTCCTAAACCCCCCCCCTTTATAAAATTATCCTCCCCCCAATCCCCCCATTTCTTTAGCTAACAATATATATATTAATTTTTCTTAGGGACCCCCCTCCTCTTTATTTTATTTCTTATTTTCCCTTTTCAATTTATCTTTTGTGCTGTTTACATGCATGCCCCCATGCCCCATGTTTGTGGGGCTTCAGGTCAACATCTCGTGAAAAATTATTTTTATTTTTATTAAATTCATTCATCGTCAGGAATTTGCCTCTATGATTATATCAGCCTGTATCCGCCGCGATGTCTATGTTGGGATTTTTTTTTTTTTTATTGAAATATGTGACGAAAATGAACAGAAAAATGCATCAGAGAATCTAATATTGTAGAAGAAGGATATCTATGAAATGTAACTAAATTTTATGTGGTAAGCATGTAAAAGTTACTTCTTTTTTTTTTCTTTACATGGGCACCACCTAATTCTTACAAATTTAGATATATCTGACATCTAAATTTTTCTTTTTTTATATTTATATTTATCACCTAAATCTTTCATATGACAACAAAAGTACAACCATTGCGACTTGCACAATGTTAAATTAATATATTTTTTTCATGCATAATTTGGGTGATACACATGTAACAGTTAATTTTTAGGTGTTAGATGTATGCTATCCAATAACTGTGGCATATTATTATACGTGATTAATAATATAGATGTATGCTATCCAGTTAATTTTTAGGTGTTAGATGTATGCTATCCAAAATTTCTGGGGTATGTATGTAAATCTTCCTTTATATTATTATGCATTACTATCACTATTATATTATATGATTAGTGTCTAACACCGCGAACAATGTTGGTCAACTGTGGCATATTTTTTATCTTTTTTTATTTTTTTTAAAATACGCTATCCAATAACTTTTTATTTGAGTAAGCATAAGAAATATTCGAGATCAAATTTCACTCCAAAATATCGGGTGGTATTCGAATTGTTCGACACATTAAGTATGACTGGAGGCTAGTATAATAGCTTGTAGTCATTCCTTTCTTATATATATATATATATATATATATATATATATATACAAGGCATAAACACATAAAGAATATCGAACATTCATTATTGGCAGATTATGTTTTTTTTTAACGTTATAGAAATGACTAAATTCAAATAGAATATAGAAGAGGTCCAGAAATAAAAATATTTTAGAACAGATATATAATTGGATTATGTGATATGATCGCTTCTACTCAGTTAATTTGCACAACCAAAGGACTACTATTATTGGGTGGCCATGTCGCTTGCGGTTGTAAGCTAATGGTCGAGAGGCGCCATTTGTCGACCGTTCCTATTTACGTCCACCTATGCATTGCGTATTGCCGACGTCTCATTACCTCGCCCGCCCCTCCAACTGCTTCAATCATTAATTAATTTGCGCGCACCAAATTTTTAGGAGTAAGTTTTTATTATATACAAGTCCACTGTTAGATTACACATTACAGAGTAAAATGGTTTAGAGGTTCTTTTTTTAAAGCACAAACTCTTGATATAATGGTTGAACCTTGCAAATTTATTTGCTTTGCAAAATCTCAATTTTAGCTTTTATATGTTCTTCTAAAATTATTTTTTTCGTCATGCACGGTGTGGGACTAAAAAGCTTGAGAAAACATGTCCTTATATTTCGTATATCCTTCTTTTTTATTTTGTGCTTGTTAGTAAAACAAAACGAGTGAATGGCTCATAGTGGGTGCGGTGGGACGCAAAAAACGAAAGAGAGATTACTCAGTCAGCTGCGATGCGGCCCATGTATGATCCCTTTCCTTGGTTGAGCTTGGCTTGTTCCATTAAGCTTTAGTTTGAGGACATTAGCACATGCCATCCAAATTTTACGTATTTACACATCTAACACTTACATTCATTTTTTTTTTTATAAATATACCACCCAAAAAAAAAGTTTAAAAATAATAAAATTTAGAATTTATTTAACACATTTAGAAAACTAATATGAAAAATATTATTATTTAATTATATAATTATTTTGAGTCAAAATAAGCTGAACATGAATGAAAAAATTTTTGTTCGTGTTTGACTCATTTATAAATCGTGATAAAAAAAAATTATTTTTTTTCCGATTTACTTGCTTAACAAATGAATAAAAAATGTGCTACTTAATGAGCTAAACACAAGGTGTTCTTGACAACAAGATTTTGTGACAGCCCTAGTAATAATTTCTCTATCGTGAGGCAGCTGGTTCGGCTCATGTATATAGCCCTTTATCTTTCCAAAAAAAAAAAAATTTAAATACACAATTATATAATTCATGATTTAAATTAAAGTTTTCTTTTATTTTAATTCTAGATAAAAGAAATAAATAAATAAGTTCCATGCAAATTAGATATCGTGTACATCGTACAAGGATGGAGTTTATTTTTCTAAATTTGTTAAAAAAACAAAAATACATGATTACGTGGCTTGCAACACCAAGAAAACAGATAATTTTATTTATTTTACATTTTTTGAAGGAAAAAAAGTCATGCGCTCTAACACTGTTGAAGCAATTCCACAATATAAGTTGAAGATTAAGAATATCTGATCTTCCCTAAGGTTGGAGTAGGCAGAATTATAAGGTTTGAAAGGCAACGACTTTAGTAGTGATGGAGAGAGGACACTGACAAAAATCGTAGTTGTTCATTGACAATGGGAATAATGGTTACAACATAAAGTAAAAAAGACAAGTAAAGCACAATTAATGAAGAAAAATAAAGTTTCTTATCATACTTCTTTAAAAATAGTATTCGTGTTGACCATACGTGAACAAATACAACACAGTGCATTAACACCACTCAATAAATTGGCGGCTACCTCTAAGCCACACCAACAAAGTATGAAAAACCAAATCTCGCGTGAGAACCGAAATTTTCCATTTCACAAACCGGCGCCGCACTTGCGCCTTCCAATTTGGCTTCCCGCGCCCGAACTCATGCAGGGATTCCGATCATTTTTCTCTTATACAGCTTTATGGACTTTCACCAAGGATTTCCCTATTTATTAGCAATCGACATCCTGGTCCCTCCTCCACAACCGTAAACCCTTCTCCTAGCCAACATTCCCTGCCGGACCCCTCGCCCTTTCGCGGAGGAAATCTGCCACCTTATACCAACTCCTCTGTCTTCTTCAATCGATTGAGCATCATAAGCTCCACCATTTTCTTCTCTGCTTTTTATGCAATTGTTTATTTATGTTATTGAATTCAAATTTGTCATTGAATCACATCCAAGAAATAGGGAGTTAAAAAAAGAGAGAGAGGAGCTCAGAGGGGATAGAGAGAGAGAAAAGTGAACATGAATGAGCATTAATTTGAATTGTTGACTAGCATTTTTTGCGAAAATGATCTCCCTATTTATAGAAGTGAGGGTACAATAGATAAGATTATATATTTGACTATATATTATTAACAATGTTATGGAACATTATTAGGTATTTTACATATAAAGACATTCCATTCAGTCAACCTATGACTCGGTCGACTAAAGTAGTTAGTCCTGGTTCGATAAGAATTGTCCATCCGATTGTGATGAATCAGAGTTGCCAGTCGGTCCTTGATGGTTTTCGGGTTGGCGAAACTTGACTCTATTAGCTTGGTTTGTCATTCAACTATGCTAGTCTGGTTGCCGACTATTGATCCTTTAATAAAGAACTTCTGTTGGAGGAACAAGGCTGGGCTATTAGGTAGAAGATGAATCATTGTAATTCAATAGGTAGCTGTTTACTCCTCGACATGGTGTTCCTTCAAGGATGCTCTATGTGACGGCTAATTCTAAACCCCTACTGAGAAATCTCAAGGACGTCTGTGGGAAAGCTGGAGGTGATATTCTTCCCTTGAACCAGGTTATGATGAGAGACAGATCGATACCCTCGCTCGGCTTGATAATCTTTAGTCTTCAGTTCAAACAACCTTCACTCAGTCGACCTTCAACCCCACCTTAGGTAGGTTGCACCCGGTCAGACATGTCTTTTGAAATTCTGATGGTGAATGCATAGCTTTGATGGATCTTCGATCTTCCGCTCATGGGCATTTTGTCTGTCATTATTGGGCCAATGGTCTTCCATTCAGAAGCCCTCAGTTGTAATTTTTTGTGTTTTGGTTCGTTACATTTCCTTGAATTCGTGCAAACACGTATCTGATGCGTGTGTTTGTGTGTGTGTAAGATAATAACAATAATACATATTAATAATGTTATATATTTTTTGATAAATAATATTTTAATGTTTTCTTAATTGCATAAGTTTGATATTCTAAAGTTTTAAATTATAGAGGACCAGTTGAACTATAACAAAATTGGAGTTTAAAGTTCGTCTCGATAAGTAACTATTATTTATTAAGAGATAAATATACACTTCATCGTTAGGGACATTAATTCTTATTACTTGTACTAAAATTCTACTTATTTTCATAGTAGGCTACATGTCCTATTTCACTTACAGTGCTGAAAAGTTTCAATATGATTTATGTATCATTAATAATCAAATATTTAGATAAATCATTTTATTATTGCACAATTTTTTGCATATTTGATTCATCCTGCAACTATAATTTATATATATATATATATATATATAGATATATATATATTATTTTGACATGTTACTATTATGAATTGCAAATCAATCTCTCATGCTATAATTATGCTTTAAAAAAGTAAATATGTTGGTCATATTATTTAAGTAAAATTTTGTTGTATGCATGTGTGTGTTGAATTTTAGGTCGATGGAACCCATTTGGATATTGGGTGGTCGAGTCGACATACCCACAAAGTTATGATTCTATAGAAAATCATGAGGTTTGCTTGGGTTGGTGTTTACCTTCCCAATTTCATGATGTCTGATAAAACTGATTATATTTAAATATGAATTTAACTGAAATTAGATAATAAATGACAGTTAATTTATATGTTTTTAATTGTCATTGATTGCATAA